TGTCAAATCTTTGGGAATACACACTGGACAAGGACTGAAACTGTCAACTGAATGGGGTGAGTGTGCAGTGTCTCATTTCGGTGTTGACAAGGGCAAACAACAAGCTAGCCTGAGAAAAAAAATCAAAGAACATAAAGAATCACAAGCCCATGTAAAAGCTGCTGACATCCTTACAGCTGCTTCACGTGAAACTATTCAACATCAAGTGCAGTCTATGCATAAATCTGAATTAGACACCACTATCAGAGTTTTTCGAACGGCATATAAAATTGGCAAACATAGCCGGCCATTCACAGACATGCCAATTGATTTGAATGTACAGAAACTGAATGGGCTGAACGTGGGCAGGGTTTTGCACTCCAATAAAATCTGTGGCGAAATCATCGACCACATAGCTCATGAGCTGAAGAAATAAATGGCAAAAGACATTACAGAAAACCAAAGAAAACTCTGTGTTTTGGTCGATGAATCTACCACTATTAGTGGTAAAACGGTGCTTGTTGTGTGTCTACGCTCAGCATTAGCTGATGCTGAGCCCGAAACGTTTTTTTGGGAGCTGATCGAGTTGGATGGAACAACGGCTGATGACATCACAAAGGCGTTAATGGAGTGTCTTGGAAGAGATTTTAACGAGGACTTTTTAGGTCAGTGTTTCGTTTCTTTTGCATGTGATGGGGCTTCAGTCATGCTAGGGAAGAGAACAGGCGTTGCTACCAGTTGTGTAGTAAATTCCCAAGCCTGTTTGTGTGGCACTGCTCCAATCATCGTCTAGAGCTGGCAGTTGGGGATGTGGTCAAGGAGGTCTCAGGGCTCAATCATTTCCAGATCTTTTTTGACAAACTCTATTCCTTGTTCCATGCCTCCCCCAAAAATCAGAGGCAGTTAGCGCAGTGTGCGCAAGCAGTCGGACAGCGTCTCCTGGTGATAGGGCGTGTTTTGTCCATCCGCTGGGTGACTTCAAGTGAAAGGAGCGTCAGAGCAGTCTGGGAAAACTACCGAGTGCTTCATGATCACTTCACAAATGCTGCAAATGACACGAGCAGGGATTCCAGAGACAGAGCAAAGTACAAGGGCCTGGATGATGTGCTCACATCTGCAACGTTTGTCAGCAATCTGGGACTGATGTACGATGCGCTCACAGAGCTCAGCGACCTCTCTCGGCAACTCCAAAAAAGAGAGATGACACTGCCTACAGCAGATAGGCTCTTAACTCGAGAAATACGAGTTTTTGAATCCATGGTCACCATGCCTGGCCCACACATGACTACAGTTCATACAGCTCTAGCTGAGAAGTCCTTCAAGGGTGTTGCCCTGCGTGAGAATGGCAGGCTTGTACAGATTCATGCAGGTCAGTTTTTCCGCAGTATGGTAGAGAATCTGAGACACAGAATGACTTCCACAACCTCCTCTCATGTCAGCACAAGAGAAATCCCATTACATGGCCGGGAGGCCCGGGACAATCAGCTAATCCAGGACATGAAAGTTATCCATCCTGGAAGTTGGCCTGAAGAGGAGTTAGACGTACAGTATGGGGACGTCGAGGTGCTACGTTTGTGCGAAGTGCTGAAAGTGGACAGAAGAGAGACTGTTCAGGGCTTTCGCGAATACAAGGAAACCAGGGCATCCCGTACACCTGCTGCCATGGAGCCTCTACTGAAAGCAGTCCGAACCATCGCTGTCTCCACTAGTGAGTGTGAGCGGGCATTCAGCTGCATGAACGATATCCTTACTGCAAAAAGGAATGCTCTCTCTGTCAGCCGACTGTCCAGCCTGGTTTTCATTAAATGTAATGGACCATCACTAGGACAGTTCAATCCGGAACAGTATGTGAGGTCCTGGCTGGCAAAGGGAAGGAGAAGTGCTGATGAAAGAGCCTGTCCAGCTCCAGCCCCTGATACTGATGTCCCCAAGGCCTTCTGGAGCCTTTTCTAACAATGTGAAGTATATTGCAAAGCAGCTCACCCAGTGAGAAGACTTTTGGCATAATGTGCCGATTTGTACAGATCCTGGAGATAGAAGGACTTCAGACCAACCAGGGAGTTATCTGATCAGCTTGGTGTTCAATGTAACTCTTTACCATGGCTCAGACTTTGTTACTTGCAGTTACAGTTTCTCATTTTAGATTGTGCACATTTTGCATTTGTTTTTACATGTTCTTTGTTCATGCTCTTTATCATTTTTCTGAGTTGGAAAGTTAGATTGCATCATAGTTTACTTTATACATATTTGTATTCTTCAGTGGTGAAGTATATTGCAAAGCAGCTCAGCCATGTGAGAAGACTTTTGGCACTTTTTCGTTTTTTCGTTTTCTGAGTTGGAAAGTTAGATTGCATTCAAAATGTACAGAAATACTTAATTTTGTTAAAGCTTTTTATAAAAAATGCTTCTGACCAGAGCTTTGTTTCCTTGTCATTAATGTTGAACACCACCAGAGGGGCTCTCACCTGAAAGGTCTCTGCTTCATGTGTCTTCAGCAGAAGATCTAGACTTTGATTGCTATATTTTCAGTTAATATTGACCTTACTGAGCTTTAGCCATATCCGCTGACTATCATAAAAAATTTTAAGTACAGTGAACCTTTCTAAAATATACAGTAGTAAAGAGACAAACCCACCAGCATTATAGTAGCCAAATTCTTGTTTGTGGGCTGTATATATAAAATTGACTTGAAAAAGTTGCTGATTTTAGAGTACTGGCACCTTTTTCATTCCAATTCAAGCACTGGTTAAGGGGAGAGGCTGAGCGTCACCATGTGTTATGTAAGCCAACTAGACAGACAGTGTATCTCTCTTCCTCCTGTACATCAGCAGATCAAAGGCATCACATACTTGAATGAATGTTAAATAAAGAATGCTGTAAATAACTGCATCTCCATTAGCCTGTATGCTCTGCAGAGACTGCCTTCTTCATGTCCTGAATTGCAGCTGATGTTTTAATGGCAATTGGCAATTTGACTTATACAACATTCGTAAGTTGTACATTTGACTCATACAATAACCCACCTTCGAGTGATGCTCTAGTTTCTTCATGGTTTTTTTCCCTCTTGCTTGTACCGGACTGAAACTGTCTTTTCACCAACATCTCTTCACCTGCACTAGTGGCCGTATCAGAGCCGTGATTGGTCAGATGTCGATTCATTGCAACGGTGTCGGGTTACAGACGTGCCCCCCTTGTCACCTCTCACTCTCGCGGGGGGTGTGCGGAGAACTGAGCGGAGAACTGTGCACAGCAGCTGAGGCCCTCTGGGCGGGGCCCCCTGCAACCTGCGTGATTGGCCTGTAGGGAGGAGCGGCCTTGGTTGTGGTTATTTTAACATCATGCCAAAAAGACAGCAGTTGAAAATGAGCCTGCTGGCTAACACTGGCACGTTTACAGCAATGTTGATCGATGTGCTCTGGCCTTTATACAAAGAAACAAAGAGACAAGCTTGACCCCACTGCTTTAATAGCATCATGAGAGTAATTAACGAAACGTTGCTGATTATAATAAATATAATTTATCCAATCAATATTTGTATTAATAGTTACCCAAAAGAAGAGTGATTCAAGTCCATGTCTGATTTAGCTGCATTCTGTATCAGAGGTATCTGTACCAAGACGCCACCTGAGGCCCTTTAAGGCTACATTAAATACATACATACATAATTACATAAATACATACATAATTACATAAATAAATACATAAATAAATTACGGCTGTCAAGTTAACGCGTTAATAACAAGCACAATTTTTTTAACGCGATTAACGCATGTGTATTTTTTGTCCTCGGAAGCCCCGTAGTTTCAGAGTACATCGAGTTTAAAATACCATCTACAAGCTGATGCTGACAGCCCCGCTCCTGCCGCCCGCTTGTGGCAGACCACACTTCCACGCTCACCGGCAGGCACCGACTGGCCATCTGGAGGACCGGGAGGGTGTGTGTATGTGTGGCCCGAGCGAGAGAGAGAGAGACCTTCGGTGCATTGTTGTTGTTAGCATCTGGTGCTAGCTAGCTGCGCTAACTGATATAAGGAGCTGTTTAAATGAAAACAGAGGAGCGACATTTCGCCACAACTGCGCCGAGCACTTGACTTTAGGCAGGAAGCCAGACAGTGGGACATTGTACGAGAAGTCAGCACACTCAGCACGGATAGTGCGTAACATGATTGCAGCGTCCAGGTAGCTCCCGTTCGAGCATATGCCTTGAGTTGCACATAGCTCCAACGATCCATCACACACACACACACACACACACACACACACACACACACACACACACACACACACACACACACACACACACACACACACACACACACACACACACACACACACACACACACACACACACACACACACACACACACACACACACACACACACACACAGGTTGTTGTGTTTAATATTCATGAGAATATTTGTCATTGTTCAAATGTTAATAAACATTAGCATAAAGCATATTTGTCCACTCATATGTTGATAAGAGTATTAAAAACTTAAAAAATATTCCTCTAAGGTACATTTAGAACAGATAAAAAATGTGCGATTAATTTGCGATTAATCGCGATTAACTATTTTAATCGACTGACAGCCCTAAAATAAATATATTAAAAAAATATGCCTATGAAATAAATTCTGAAACAAATAAACGAGGCAATATATAAAAATGTAAATACACATTTATTTATTTCAGGGGACTTTTATTATTATTATGAAATAAAAGTCCCCTGAAATAAATAAATGTGTTTTTAAATGTACAGCCTTGGTTTGTTTTATACTGCTGCAACTACAATGTCCCAAATTGGGATCAATGAAGTACATGTTATCTTATTAGGAGTTAGAACATTACACGTTCATTTCAAACCAGCAGAAGTGTATATTTCCTATCATTTTATGTCATTATTGAAGATTCTTAAAGTTCCTTATTACCTCAATTATCATTATTATTTTTAAGCCGTATTAACACGAGCGATCTTAGCAGTAGTGAGGATTCCCACAGTCCCTGAACGCACCATGCCGGAACTCCCTGTTGTTTTCCGGTCTGAGATTCTTATTTAACGTCAGGAACATTTGGACCTCAGGAGTTTCAGTACATATAATATAAATATAATAATATACACATATACATATATATATATATATATATATATATATTTAAACTGCATTTAAACAGTTAAACAGGATGAACGCGATGCAGCTGCTGAACAGGGTCCGAATGCGCGGTGAGTACAAGTACTAATACACACTCTAATACACACTGTACACACACTCTGTTACAGTACAAGTAATAATCCACACACTGTGCACACACTCTGTTACACTGCAAGTACTAATACACACTAATACACATTACAGTTAAAGTAGCCTACTAATATACACACTGTATTAAAGTTAAAGTACTAATACACACTCTACACACACTCTGTTACACTACAAGTAATAATACACACACTGTGCACACACTCTGTTACACTACAAGTACTAATACACACTCTGTTACAGCTGAAGTACTAATACACACTAATACACATTACAGTTAAAGTAGCCTACTAATATACACACTGTATTAAAGTTAAAGCACTAATACACACTGTATACATATATACTGTAGTTGAGTTTTAGTGTTACTGTAATGATGATTAATGAACTCTGTAAAAACTGCAATTCTGTCGTAATACTAACGAGAATATTGTGTGTGTGTGTGTGTGTGTGTGTGTGTGTGTGTGTGTGTGTGTGTGTGTGTGTGGTGTGTGTGTGCATCTGCATGTGTGTGTGCGTGTGTGTCAGGCCTCCATGTGTGTGTCCCCTCAATGACCTTTGACCTCAGGAAGGTGGAACTACTTCCTCTCGATCACAGGAAGTTGACCTTCGACTCTCAGAGCGTCTGCAGAGAGCTGCAGGAGAACGGTGAGGAACACCTGATACATATATATATAATATATATATATGTATTTCATTTATTGATGTATAAAATAGTATTTTTTACTTATCATATATTGATATAGATATTTAAATATGATCAATGTATTAATAATGAAGAAGTGATGTTTGAAGTAAATCTGTATATTAAAGTATATGTAATGTGTGTATTTGTACTCTCAGGCTTTGAGAAGCGGCAGGCGGAGCTCGTCGTCTCGGCTCTCGTCTCTCTGACGGCCGCAAACATGGACATCGTTTACAGAGACATGGTGACCAAATCCCACCAGGTGAGTACTGCTGGGAGTACACAGAGTACTCAGATACTGTTACATGGTGACCAAATCCCACCAGGTGAGTACTGCTGGGAGTACACAGAGTACTCAGATACTGTTACATGGTGACCAAATCCCACCAGTAACAGTACTCAAATAATCACATTATTAGGAGTATTAGTAGGATTACCAGTATTAGAGTACTGACAGTATAACAGCATCCCCAGCATTGTGTCCCAGGAGATCGCCCTGCAGCCAGTATTAGAGTACTGACAGTATAACAGCATCCCCAGCATTGTGTCCCAGGAGATCGCCCTGCAACCAGTATTAGAGTACTGACAGTATAACAGCATCCCCAGCATTGTGTCCCAGGAGATCGCCCTGCAGCTAGTATTAGAGTACTGACAGTATAACAGCATCCCCAGCATTGTGTCCCAGGAGATCGCCCTGCAGCTAGTATTAGAGTACTGACAGTATAACAGCATCCCCAGCATTGTGTCCCAGGAGATCGCCCTGCAGCTAGTATTAGAGTACTGACAGTATAACAGCATCCCCAGCATTGTGTCCCAGGAGATCGCCCTGCAGCTAGTATTAGAGTACTGACAGTATAACAGCATCCCCAGCATTGTGTCCCAGGAGATCGCCCTGCAGCCAGTATTAGAGTACTGACAGTATAACAGCATCCCCAGCATTGTGTCCCAGGAGATCGCCCTGCAGCTAGTATTAGAGTACTGACAGTATAACAGCATCCCCAGCATTGTGTCCCAGGAGATCGCCCTGCAACCAGTATTAGAGTACTGACAGTATAACAGCATCCCCAGCATTGTGTCCCAGGAGATCGCCCTGCAGCTAGTATTAGAGTACTGACAGTATAACAGCATCCCCAGCATTGTGTCCCAGGAGATCGCCCTGCAGCTAGTATTAGAGTACTGACAGTATAACAGCATCCCCAGCATTGTGTCCCAGGAGATCGCCCTGCAGCAGATGTTTTCTCACCTCGACTCCATCAGGAAGGACATGGTGATTTTGGAGAAAAGCGACTTCGCCAACCTGCGATCAGAAAACTCCGTAAATATTCATTTTTTCGCCTGAAGTTAAAAAGTTAATTTTATAATAAATTTAAACATTTTTAAATATTTCCTCAGAATGTTTTATTTCAGACTTTTTGCTTTTCTTGTAGAAAATGAAGCGCGAGTTGGAGCAGATCCAACACCGACTGAAGGTCAGACTTGATAGTATTTAATAGCTCACTGTCTGATATATAAATACATCTTTTAATGATATTATATTTCACTATGAATCTAATCCTCTGAGACGTTTCAGGAGGAGAGTCGGAAAGTCCGAGCGGAGACGAAACTGGACATCAACCTGGAGAGCAGCCGCATGGCCGACGTGGTGGGACTAATACTACACAATATTCACTAATACTCATAAAACACTCGTAAAATATTTATAAAATACTCATAACATATTGATAAAATACTCATAAAATACTCATAAAATATTTATAAAATACTTTAAAAATACTCTAAAAATACTCATAAAATACTCGTAAAAATATTTAGAAAATATTTATATTATTTCAAATTTCAAATATAACATAAAACATAAAAAAATTATAAAAAATATATGTAAAAGTTTTTACAACATTTATATTGATCAGATTTCCAATTATAGATCAAAATCATTATTTGCTGAGGTTTACAAATGTTTTTCAGAATTGATTTGATTTGAACTCTTTATGAAATTTCACGATATCTTCCTTGAGATTTTCCCAAAAATTTATTTCACTTTTTTCAATATTTTATTTGTATTTTGGGGGAAATTCTGCAAAGCAATTTTTGGACATTTAATAATTTTTATACGGTATTTTAACAATTTCCTCCGTGAACAACTTAGAATATTTAAAGTTAATATCAACGTTTTTTTCTCGTAAATTTCAGTCTAAATTGGCAGAATATCTACTTATTGATGATTTTCTAATTGCAGACAATAATCATTTTTTCTCCTGAAATAACCTTTTCAAATCTCAGAGAATATCATATTTAATATTCCACTCCTCACATACTTGTATATAATATCCTGCTTTATATGTTGTTACCGTACATTTGTATTTCCACATGTATTTTTTCTACTTTTTTAATTTCTCTAATGTGCCATGTCTTTTTCTGCTGCTGCAACGCAATCATTTCCCAAAGTGAGATCAATAACGTCCTTCTATATACTTCTATATAAATAAACATTGATTGACTTCTGTCTTGTTATGTATGGGTGTTTGTAATATCTTTGAACTAAAGTGTTTCTGAAGCGGCTTCATAATAAGTGAATAAAAGATGTGTGTTTCCAGTTCAGCGATCAGGAGAAGAAGCTTCTGGAGGCGAGCAGCGACTTCCACCACAAGGTCGACACCCTTATATATTCATACTGATGAAGATCATATCATCATCATCATCATACATATTGCTGACTCTTTTAAACGTCTTTTAAAGACATTCCTGTTACCTGTGTTTTTAGCACTTCTTAACACGTGGTCATTTATTCTTTTGTGATTCCTGTGATGTTCTCATGTTTCCTCTCCTCCTCTCCTCCTCTCCTCCTCTCCTCTTGAGGATGCTCTCTCCGTTTGTCAGAAAGCGGATCTGGAGCACGACAACATGGAGATCAACAGAAAGATCGACCTGCAGGTGGCGTCGCTGAAGACTCTGCTGGAGTCTCTGAAGCTGGAGACCGTCCGCTACCTCGCAGGTACACTGTGTACTCTACCGTGTACTTCTACTGTGTACTCTACTGTGTACTCTACCGTGTACTTCAGGTACACTGTGTACTCTACCGTGTACTTCTACTGTGTACTCTACTGTGTACTCTACTGTGTACTCTACCGTGTACTTCAGGTACACTGTGTACTCTACTGTGTACTCTACTGTGTACTTCTACTGTGTACTCTACTGTGTACTCTACCGTGTACTTCAGGTACACTGTGTACTCTACCGTGTACTCTACCGTGTACTCTACTGTGTACTCTACCGTGTACTTCAGGTACACTGTGTACTCTACCGTGTACTTCTACTGTGTACTCTACTGTGTACTCTACCGTGTACTTCAGGTACACTGTGTACTCTACCGTGTACTTCTACTGTGTACTCTACTGTGTACTCTACCGTGTACTTCAGGTACACTGTGTACTCTACTGTGTACTCTACCGTGTACTTCAGGTACACTGTGTACTCTACTGTGTACTTCTACTGTGTACTCTACTGTGTACTCTACCGTGTACTTCAGGTACACTGTGTACTCTACCGTGTACTTCTACTGTGTACTCTACTGTGTACTCTACCGTGTACTTCAGGTACACTGTGTACTCTACCGTGTACTTCTACTGTGTACTCTACCGTGTACTCTACTGTGTACTTCAGATATACTGTGTATACAGCATGAAGCAGGTACTCAGATACTGTAGTATTTCATATATATTTGACGAGGAATTAATTCAGAATATTATGAGATTAAAATCATAATTTACATAGAAAAGAAAAATCACCTTTTATAGGGAAATGAAATACATGATGACGTTCCCTCGGATATTTGCAATTTAAATACGACTTTATACTTATTTTTGCTTCACGTAATACGAGGCTTTTCTCTCTCGTATAACTGTGACTTTATTCTCCTAATATTAAAACATTATTATTTTACAAATACTATGAGTTTTTATTTTGAGATATTGTGAAAATATCTTTAGTGAAATTCTGTATTCACGTGAAAGGACCATGTTTACGTTTCCTAATGTCTGCCGTCAGGACTCAGTTTCCTCATCTGGAATATTTCCAACAAAATGTTAAATGATATAATAAAGTTATGATAATGATGAACGTCGATGTGTTCCCTGCAGCGACCGTGTTCTCCTGCCTGGCCATCGCTCTGGGAGTCTACCGGCTGTGGAGGTGAAGAAGAAGAAGAAGCTAAATTATTCAATAAAAAACTAAATATTAAATAAGTACAGAAATATTATTCAAATTAAAGGTGGGGTAGGCAGTTCCTTCAGAAGCACTTATTATATTCCATGGAATGCTCTTAACGTCCCGATAGCAGTGAATATCTGAAGTGCTTTGAAGCCGTGGTGCTGTAGAAAGCTCGACCAATCATCTGAGCCGGCTAAAGTAACTGGATGGCCTACCTGCCTGTCAGCCTTCCCTCGGGGCACACACTGATCTCTGCCCTCATTGGTCATGTGCGCGTTCCTGTGTGTTGGGGGAGGGGCTCTGTGAGGAAGTGGCAGATTGTTTCCGGCTGCGTATTTTCAAATTCTAGCCACTCGAGCTGCTTTCTCCAAAATGACCTGCCCCACCTTTAAAGATGATTTGAAGCCACGTGAGAAAAAGAACAGATACTTTTATATTTCATGCATTTATGCAACATAAGAACAAAATATTAAGTCAACTGTATTATTTGATTCGTTTTTGTTTTTAATGTAAAATTATGTTTTCTTCCAAATTGAAGATCTGTTTACTGAAAATATTATTTATGATTTATTGTAATATGTTTCTGTGATGTTTATTAAGCACTAATAAACGTTTCTATTCAAATTAAAGAGTGATGTTTGTTCACACACACACACACACACACACCTTTCACACCAAGGCTTTTCCCGTTCTAGCTCCGTGCAAGAGCTTTTCAGGTTCAGAACCGGTTCAGCTCCCGCGCTGTTCACACCGCTCAGAGCCCGACTGGTGCTGCGTCCTGACGTAACCGTTTGCGTGCCCGCTTCATAAAGCCAAACCGCGCGGAAACCCCTCACATCGTTACATGCTACATTCAAAAGTTATTTATAATCATCATCAACGACGACGATTCCCTAGGAGAAAGAAGGTAAATATACGTCCTATTCGATGGCGTTAGAGCTAGCTGTTGTTAGCCTCTGCATGCGCCAAGCTCAACATACCCAGCTTTGCAGCATTAGTTACTTTGGTATAACATTACAACTGATGCCCCCGACGTAAGCGTGACGTATGCGGTGCTTGCTTTCCAGACCGACAACTTTTTGGTGCTTGAAACGAACCGGATTCCGGAGCTTGGAGGTGGCTCAGCTGCGGTGTGAACAGGAAAAACGGTGCTTTTCAAGCTCCGAACCGGCCCTGGAACCGCGTTGGTGTGAAAGGGATAACACACAGACACACACACAGACATCTGTATTTGTTGTCATTTTTTTTCCTTCTAATTTGTTATTATTTGGTGCAGACACGAAACATACTACCAATAGAAATACACTAGCCGCTTTCACACCAAGTATTTTGCCGTACTTAGTGACGGCACTAGTGCTGCCCCCATGGGACTAAGTACAGATCGCATTCACACCGGAATAAGTTCCCTGAGGGAAGATTACGCAAATGAAGCCGCTGACGTAATTCCGGAAGTCCCCGGAGTTGGGGAAGGCTTCAGTTGAAGCTGCTGGGACTCCCAGCAGCTTCAACTGAAGGCTTCCGAGTAAATCGCCAGAACGCCGACACCTCCTCATCTCCACCGCTCCCATGTTTTCTTTTGTGTTGCCATAAGTTAGTCTCTCTGCGTTTGTGCGCTGGGCTAATGCTAATAATGCTAATGCGAGGATAATACATCCGGCTCTACAAAACATTTCAGAGTTTTACGGGGTGTGGTTTGCAATTCGCCCAGCCAATCAGAACTGGGGCACTTCCCCCCCCCCCCCAGGAGAGTACCACCTCTCTAGCAGGCACTACACATGGGGGTAAAAGTTCCCGGCACTAAGTACTCTTTTTGGTGTGAACGCGACATCGGGGGTACTAACGGAACTAAACGGGAAAAGTACTCCGGTGTGAACGCGCCAATAGGAACCCTTTTCTCCCAGGAAAGTACCTGCTCTCTAGCAGGGACGCAAAAGAGGGTAAACAAGGTTCCGATTAACTCATTTTAGTTCCGGATTTTTTTGGCGTGAACGCGACATTTCGGAACTCAATCGGAACTAAAGTGGGAAAAGTACTATCGCCTATTGCTTCTAAAATCGTTCTGTGTGAGAAAACTGAAATCTGTAAAAAAAATAAAAAAAATTCTCTTTTTCCTTCCAATTTGTTATTATTTACAATAGGCGCTTTCACACCGGAGGAAGGATGCTCCAGAGCCACTATTTCAAGTATGCTACGTCATCGAGTCCCGCCGAAGGACTGTTCCAATGTCCAGGATGCTTGGAATTCTACCGAAGCCGGGGTCCTTCGTAGCGAGAAATGTTGAGGCTGCACATGTGTATCCTCCGCGGTCTTAAAATACCCACAATGCTTTGAGCACGGACCGATTCCCAAATCTTTTGCGGAAATCGCGCTCCATTTAAGGCGGGGCCTCGCATATGACGTACACCTGCACACCTGTTCCACCATTCTTCGTTTTCCGAGGCTACGAAGGATTCTTGCCACGCTTCTGAAGCAAGTGACTCGGAAGACGTGTCCTACCAAGGACACGTCCTCGACATTGAGAAACACCCCGTGTTGTATCTTGGTATGGCTGTAGCCTACCCCAGCCATACCCTAGAGCCGCCACTGCATCTGACGCACACCTGCTAGCCTGTTCCATTCTTCGTTCGCCGAATGAAAGGAAGGATTCTTGCCTTTGATGGACCTGACTCGGAAGACATGTCCTACCAAGGAAGCGTCCTCGACATTGAGAAACACCCACAGACACAAACATCCGCACACAAATGACATGACGCAGGGTCGTAAGGTCGTAACGAGGTTTACGAATATTTTACAGATTTTATATTTGAATCTTTTTTCAGGTATTTTAAACGTTTCCTCGTGGACGTCCTGGAATCTTTGAGAATCTTTCTTATTTGTATTCTAACAGTATTTTTGGGATCTTTAAAACTATTGTTGAGATATTTTCCTGCGTTAAACACCTTCAGTTTGAATTCAGGAAACTGTGTTTAGTTGAAATAAAAGACTCGAGAGCAGAGAAACTGTAAATGAACTCAACCTTTATTTTGAAAACCTTGGCGTCATACACTCTTGATTGAAGGAAAAGGAAACAGGAAGTGGCTCCTCGGCGATGCTTACCTGACAGGAAGTTCCCCGACGTTAAATCAACGGTAAATCACAATCACTGTCACACCAGAGGTACCAAAAAATACTTTAATTTATAAATTAAATCATGTACATCTGAGCCACAAACAGACTTCTTGAGTTCACAGAAACAACGGGAGGATCCAAAATACCAAAACGTATTCAAGTTTATGTAAAAGCACTTTTCCTTAAAATCAGAAAAGCAGCGTCACTCGGCCTTGCTCCGGCCCGCGTCCTCGCTCCGGCCCGCGTCCTCGCTCAGAACGTCCTCGTTTCGGCCCGCGTCCTCGCTCAGAACGTCCTCGTTTCGGCCCGCGTCCTCGCTCAGAACGTCCTCGCTCAGAACGTCCTCGTTTCGGCCCGCGTCCTCGCTCAGAACGTCCTCGTTTCGGCCCGCGTCCTCGCTCAGAACGGCCTCTTTTCGGCCCTCGCTCAGAACGGCCTCGTTTCGGCCCTCGCTCAGAACGGCCTCGTTTCGGCCCTCCTCGCTCGGACCCTCCTCACTCGGACACGCCGCCGTTAAAACCTCCGCCTCCTCGCTCTTCACCACAGGAAGTGAACACGCCATGGGCTCGGCCACTTCCTGTTTCACTTTGGCGAACGCACAGGAAGTCCTGCCCCCTTGCTCTTCTTCGTCTTCTTCTGTCTTAATGAAGGCGGTCAGCGGGTGCTCCGTCAGCAGCTTGCTGGGCGACGGCGTCACGTCCACGTACGACGACGTCTGAGGAGACAAGAGGTCACGGCCTATCAGCATCCAGGGTTACTTATTATGTTGTTTATTTATCTATTTCTCTGTTACTTACGTTTTTATAATCTTCAAAACAGGCGGGGTGGAAGTTCTGTGGAGAGAGTTGGAACAAAGGGTTACAATTATCATTATATTTCATGTTTTCATGGGAATATCAGAACATTTGACCAATATTTCTCAGATAAAATCTCTCCATTTGACCATAATTAGGTCAATTCAATTCAAAACCTTTATTCATCAGGTGAAATCCCATTGAGATCAATGATCTCTTTTCAAGGGAGACCTGCAGCAGTAGGTTCCACAAGAAGACAAAAAAACAAATGCTAATATTTTACAAAAACTTAGCCGAGAAAAAAAGAATGAAAATATTAATGTTGAACTAAAATAATACAGATTGTAATAAATGTTTTCAGTGACCTCATTTGGAAATAGTCCTTACATTAACCAAAATGATTCTGATAGCGGCATCCTCAATATTTGGGAGATTGTATTGTGTGTCTGAGGTGTTGCTCTGACCTTGTCGTCGACCCTGACGGCGTCCTTCAGGAACCAGTCCTCCTCCTCCTCCACCCAGTACGTCTCAAACGGCTCCTGGCAGATCTCACACAGCTGGGGGGAGGGGGGGGGGGAGGGGTCAGTGGTGATGAAGCAGATGATACATGCTGTTCTTTACATCTCTCATTGTGTCTGTTCTACAGTACTGACAGTGTTTGTGAACAGCTTTCAAATCTAACCTGCTCCACCCGTTAGAAAGTCATGCTCTGCCCTGAGAGGCTCCAGCAGCATCCTCTGGACCCAAAGCATGCTCTGACCTGAGGCTCCAGCAGCATCCTCTGGACCCAAAGCATGCTCTGCCCTGAGAGGCTCCAGCAGCATCCTCTGGACCCAAAGCATGCTCTGCCCTGAGAGGCTCCAGCAGCATCCTCTGGATCCAAAGCATGCTCTGCCCTGAGAGGCTCCAGCAGCATCCTCTGGATCCAAAGCATGCTCTGCCCTGAGAGGCTCCAGCAGCATCCTCTGGATCCAAAGCATGCTCTGACCTGAGAGGCTCCAGCAGCATCCTCTGGACCCAAAGCATGCTCTGCCCTGAGAGGCTCCAGCAGCATCCTCTGGATCCAAAGCATGCTCTGCCCTGAGAGGCTCCAGCAGCATCCTCTGGATCCAAAGCATGCTCTGCCCTGAGAGGCTCCAGCAGCATCCTCTGGATCCAAAGCATGCTCTGCCCTGAGAGGCTCCAGCAGCATCCTCTGGATCCAAAGCATGCTCTGCCCTGAGAGGCTCCAGCAGCATCCTCTGGATCCAAAGCATGCTCTGCCCTGAGAGGCTCCAGCAGCATCCTCTGGACCCAAAGCATGCTCTGACCTGAGGCTCCAGCAGCATCCTCTGGATCCAAAGCATGCTCTGACCTGAGGCTCCAGCAGCATCCTCTGGACCCAAAGCATGCTCTGACCTGAGGCTCCAGCAGCATCCTCTGGATCCAAAGCATGCTCTGACCTGAGGCTCCAGCAGCATCCTCTGGACCCAAAGCATGCTCTGACCTGAGGCTCCAGCAGCATCCTCTGGATCCAAAGCATGCTCTGACCTGAGGCTCCAGCAGCATCCTCTGGACCCAAAGCATGCTCTGACCTGAGGCTCCAGCAGCATCCTCTGGATCCAAAGCATGCTCTGACCTGAGGCTCCAGCAGCATCCTCTGGACCCAAAGCATGCTCTGACCTGAGGCTCCAGCAGCATCCTCTGGATCCAAAGCATGCTCTGACCTGAGAGGCTCCAGCAGCATCCTCTGGATCCAAAGCATGCTCTGACCTGAGAGGCTCCAGCAGCATCCTCTGGACCCAAAGCATGCTCTGACCTGAGAGGCTCCAGCAGCATCCTCTGGACCCAAAGCATGCTCTGACCTGAGAGGCTCCAGCAGCATCCTCTGGACCCAAAGCATGCTCTGACCTGAGAGGCTCCAGCAGCATCCTCTGGACCCAAAGCATGCTCTGACCTGAGGCTCCAGCAGCATCCTCTGGACCCAAAGCATGCTCTGACCTGAGGCTCCAGCAGCATCCTCTGGACCCAAAGCATGCTCTGCCCTGAGAGGCTCCAGCAGCATCCTCTGGATCCAAAGCATGCTCTGACCTGAGAGGCTCCAGCAGCATCCTCTGGATCCAAAGCATGCTCTGACCTGAGGCTCCAGCAGCATCCTCTGGACCCAAAGCATGCTCTGACCTGAGGCTCCAGCAGCATCCTCTGGACCCAAAGCATGCTCTGACCTGAGGCTCCAGCAGCATCCTCTGGACCCAAAGCATGCTCTGACCTGAGGCTCCAGCAGCATCCTCTGGACCCAAAGCATGCTCTGACCTGAGAGGCTCCAGCAGCATCCTCTGGACCCAAAGCATGCTCTGACCTGAGGCTCCAGCAGCATCCTCTGGATCCAAAGCATGCTCTGCCCTGAGAGGCTCCAGCAGCATCCTCTGGACCCAAAGCATGCTCTGACCTGAGGCTCCAGCAGCATCCTCTGGATCCAAAGCATGCTCTGACCTGAGGCTCCAGCAGCATCCTCTGGATCCAAAGCATGCTCTGACCTGAGGCTCCAGCAGCATCCTCTGGATCCAAAGCATGCTCTGACCTGAGGCTCCAGCAGCATCCTCTGGACCCAAAGCATGCTCTGACCTGAGAGGCTCCAGCAGCATCCTCTGGACCCAAAGCATGCTCTGACCTGAGGCTCCAGCAGCATCCTCTGGACCCAAAGCATGCTCTGTCCTGAGAGGCTACAGCAGCATCCTCTGGATCCAAAGCATGCTCTGACCTGAGGCTCCAGCAGCATCCTCTGGATCCAAAGCATGCTCTGACCTGAGGCTCCAGCAGCATCCTCTGGACCCAAAGCATGCTCTGTCCTGAGAGGCTACAGCAGCATCCTCTGGACCCAAAGTATGCTCTGTCCTGAGAGGCTCCAGCAGCATCCTCTGGACCCAAAGTATGCTCTGCCCTGAGAGGCTCCAGCAGCATCCTCTGGATCCAAAGCATGCTCTGACCTGAGGCTCCAGCAGCATCCTCTGGATCCAAAGCATGCTCTGACCTGAGGCTCCAGCAGCATCCTCTGGATCCAAAGCATGCTCTGACCTGAGGCTCCAGCAGCATCCTCTGGACCCAAAGCATGCTCTGTCCTGAGAGGCTACAGCAGCATCCTCTGGATCCAAAGCATGCTCTGACCTGAGGCTCCAGCAGCATCCTCTGGATCCAAAGCATGCTCTGACCTGAGGCTCCAGCAGCATCCTCTGGATCCAAAGCATGCTCTGACCTGAGGCTCCAGCAGCATCCTCTGGATCCAAAGCATGCTCTGACCTGAGGCTCCAGCAGCATCCTCTGGATCCAAAGCATGCTCTGACCTGAGGCTCCAGCAGCATCCTCTGGACCCAAAGCATGCTCTGACCTGAGGCTCCAGCAGCATCCTCTGGACCCAAAGCATGCTCTGACCTGAGACTCTGAGCTGCTAGCATTTCAGACTTGATCTGACCATTAAAGTATTATGGTCTGGGTTATAACAGTAATAACTCTCTCCTCTCTCTCTCTCTCTCCCCCCCTCCCACCTTTCCCCAATGGACCTGACTTTGACTAATAATGGATAAAGATGGCTGACCTCCCTCACGGCGTCCTTGGTGGCCTTCACGCTCTGGAACTCCTTCTCCTTGGCGGCGGCTTGACTCTTCTGCACCTCCTCCTCGTTCACTTTCTCGAAGAAGGTGCTCTTTGCTCGCTCCTCCAGATCCGCGATCTCCTCGAACTCCACCCAGTCCTGGGGAGGGCCAGCGTTAATGTGTGCTTCGTATTTACAACATGTTTCAGACATCCTACCTGATACAACTGAAATTACATCTTTTTCACATGTTTCAAAAAGGTCGCCCAAAAGAATTTAATACATATTTAGAAAATAAAGAAATTCAGACATTTTAAAAAAGATTTTCCGAAATTGTTCTAATATTTTTGATCACCCTCCGTCCATGGTAGCAGCGTGTGTGTGTGTGTGTGTGTGTGTGTGTGTGTGTGTGTGTGTGTGTGTGTGTGTGTGTGTGTGTGTGTGACCTTAGGGTGAGCATACACACTAGAGAGGTTTCTCAATACTCTAATTGCCCCTCCTCGACTCCTCGGTCCTCCGGTAGTGACCCGGAAATGGATTTCAGCGCGCCATGTTGAAGGACATCTCATTTCTCTAAATGCACTTCGAGGACTGAGCATCGAGCGTCGAGGAGGCTCTCTGGAGGAGCTCTAACCGAGGAGAGAGGAGAGAGGAGAGAGGAGAGAGGAGGCCCTCTGGAGGAGCTCTAACCGAGGAGAGAGGAGAGAGGAGGCTCTCTGGAGGAGCTCTAACCGAGGAGAGAGGAGAGAGGAGGCTCTCTGGAGGAGCTCTAACCGAGGAGAGAGGAGGCTCTCTGGAGGAGCTCTAACCGAGGAGAGAGGAGGCTCTCTGGAGGAGCTCTAACCGAGGAGACACTGATGGTTCCTCCACGGATGCATTTCCGGGAACGGTGGAGGCGTGATGCACGGCCGGACTGATCTCAGCCAATCACAGCTCTGCATGCATCCCCTGGTTATTATTTTAGTAACTGCTCTCATCGTGTCGCGGTCCGTGCAGAAAGCAGAGCAGTGTGTATCATAGATATCACTCAGTAGAACAGCTGAGAGGTCCGTGCAGAAAGCAGAGCAGTGTGTATCATAGATATCACTCAGTAGAACAGCTGAGAGGTCCGTGCAGAAAGCAGAGCAGTGTGTATCATAGATATCACTCAGTAGAACAGCTGAGAGGTCCGTGCAGAAAGCAGAGCAGTGTGTATCATAGATATCACTCAGTAGAACAGCTGAGAGGTCCGTGCAGAAAGCAGAGCAGTGTGTATCATAGATATCACTCAGTTAGAACAGCTGAGTAGGTCCGTGCAGGAAAGCAGAGCAGTGTGTATCATAGATATCACTCAGTAGAAACAGCTGAGAGGTCCGTTGCAGGAAAGCAGAGCAGTGTGTATCATAGATATCACTCAGTTAGTAGAACAGCTGAGAGGTCCGTGCAGAAAGCAGCCAGCAGTGTGTATCATAGATATCACTCAGCTAGAACAGCTGAGAGGTCCGTGCAGAAAGCAGAGCATGTGTATCATAGATACTCACTCAGTAGAACAGCTGAGAGGTCCGTTGCAGAAAGCAGAGCAGACAGGTGTATCATAGATATCACTCAGTAGAACAGCTGAGAGGTCCGTGCAGAAAGCAGAGCAGTGTGTAATCATAGATATCACTCAGTAGAACAGCGGAGAGGTCCGTGCAGAACGCCGAGCAGTGTATCATAGATATCACTCAGTAGAACAGCTGAGAGGTCCTGTGCAGAAAGCAGCAGCAGTGTGTATCTAGATATCACTCAGTTAGAACAGCTGAGAGGTCCGTTGCAGAAAGCAGAGCAGTGTGTATCA